CATCTCGATGTACTTTACATTTGATATTGTATTGAAGATAGATAATGTAAGGGTAACCTACTTTACTCATTTGCTTTTGTTTTTTATGTGAGATTTGTTTATTCTCCTTCAGTAATGGTAAAATTTGGATTTGCTGGAAATCATTGTATTTGTAGTTGCTTGACATGCGTTTTGCAGTACACGAGTGTAATTTTTCATCAATGGCTTTTACAGGTCACATTCACGGAACAACATGTGTCATTTTTACACTTTTTAACTAATGTTTGCGCTATTGTTGGAGGTAATGTTTCCATCTCTCCATTTTTGTTTATGCTAACTAATCTCTGTCATGCACCTTTTCTGTTTACAATAAGTATATTTGTTGAACACACTTGTAATTCAGTTGAACATTTGACCTGTTGAACATGGGTATTTGCCCCCTTTGCCAGCTTGACCATGAACAACGTAAAAGCTGTGTTTCTGTGTAAAATATAGCCAATGGTAGAGGTAAAGCTGGTAGACCATCAGTGAGAGCTGAAGTTAACTGCAACTGTGGTTGCTGATCGTTCTCTCTCTGGTTGTTGACTTAGACTATTCCTGGTTTAGTTATGGCCCTGTTCGTTTTGCTGAAAAGACAAGCTGAATTTCGAGCATTAAACCAAGTCTTATCCTTGGAGCAGTTGCACCTGTAACCTGAGAATTATTTTTCTTGATGTGCAGGTGTGTTCACCGTTTCTGGAATCATAGATTCATTTGTATACCACAGTCAAAGAGCAATCAAGAAGAAGATGGAAATCGGCAAATTCAACTGATGTTGCTTTCCAATTGCTGCAATTGAGTAGCTCCTGTTGCAGCTCCAGGTTCCAGAAATAGGTGAATCAATCACTGCACTGTGGCTTTTGCTCTGGAACTCTTGGCACACTTGCTTAGTTTACAAACAATTGCTCATCAGATAACTCTTGGTAAGCTTGCCAGCTTGCTTCCGGCAAAGATACCAGCGAGGAAGATGGTCATCGTGTACACTAGATATTTTATTTCACACAAGCAAATGGAACAATTCTGAAGCGCTCCATTTTTGTACGCTCTAGTCTAACAAGAAAACATTTTACTTTCGTGAGCTGCAGGTGTTCGTACTGTTGTAAATTTGTGGTAGGGGGAGCCTATCTGTAGTTTTTTTTTTTTTTTTCTATAGAATTATGTCTCTACCAGTTATTTTTTCTGAGACATTTACAGCTTGGACAGGTAAAGATTGAAAAATGTATAAGAAAAAACATTTTTCAAAAAAAGCAAGCTTATCGTTGTAATCCCAGGATTTTCTTTCTGAACTCATACCGACACCGAGTTAAACTAAGATTAGAGGCAACCAGGTCCACGAGCATTGTGCTCCCTCCAATTCAAAATATCTGGTGTGATTTGACCTGGTATGCTTTGATCTATTATTTTCTTAATATAATGTATCTAGCAATAAATCAAAATATAAGAGTGCTTTCAAATACGGATCCAAAATATGACTTTTGCACAAAAAGGTTTACATAGGCTGATTCTTAGCTGACGATTATGAACTCCGAATCCAAAAAATGCGTGTGCTCCTTATAAAAGAAATGGATGCTCCTTGTAAAAACAAATGGAGGGTTATATTTCCGTTTGGCAGCTTTCAGTTTTATAAAAATGTTCCTGAAGAGACTGATTTTGATTCTCATGAAACTAGGCTTTTTCAATTTTTTTGAGAACCCTGTTTTTTTTTTTGAAGAAACGGAAATATATATATATATATATTTTTTTTTGTTTCTGATTCTGAATATCAAAACCGTTTGGTAAGGATTCCGCCATTCACGGAACAACATGTGTTGTTTGGAGAATTTCTACAAAATGCTTGAATGCACCATAGTCAAGCTGATTTGGTAGGTAATGGCCTCGTTCGGCTGGTCGAGTTTGTGGCTGAAATCGGCTGGAGTTAGTTGGGCCTCGTGGCCCAGGCGAGGACCAGCCGTTCGGCTGCTCTACAAGACCCAGCTGCCACCATCCTTACTCTCTCTCCCGTCTCATTCGGTCGCGCGCTTAGGGTTCCACCGCTCCCAGCAACCGCCATCCTCACTCACTCTCCCATCTCGCCATCGCCCGCGCCGCTAATCCCTCATCGCCGCCGGACGCCCTCCGTCCTAAACCACTCCCATCCCTTTTCCCAGAGAAGGAAGGCGACATCCACACGGGACGTCTCGCCGGATCTGGTTCGGCGTCGCCTTCTCCGAGTCATTGCCGTCTTGCCAAGCAGATCCAGCCGATCCGTCGCCGCCGGCGGGAGATCCGCCTTCCACGGCACCGGATCCGTCACCTTCTCCTGCTTCCGCCCTCCCTGCAACGGCATTTTCGGTATGTTTCCGTCTTTTTCTATCCCATTTTGCCAAACACTATCAGATCCGCTATGTTAGGGTTGCGGTTTCTGCTCCCAGGTGTGGATGCCTAAGTAGAGATGGATTGTTAGTGAAACATAATCCTTGCACATCCGTTGCATTGAGGGTTAGTATAAACTCCATTTTTTTTAATGTTTCCATTTAGACTTGGCTCCCCTGGTTTATCATGTAGTCCAATGTTGGATGGGTTGTACATATGTGTCTTGACACTCCTGCTTATGCAGTCAGTGAATAAGCAATATGCGGATGTGCCTATGATTCAGTCTGACTAGGATAACAATGTAGTGTTTCAGCCTATAGTTTACCATTACATGTTGGCTTGATGATACAAATGCACAGAGTTGTATACAGCCAAGTATCCATTGCATTCAGATAGGTTTCACCAGTGGAAATGATAGCCTGTATGCGTCATTTGATCTATTCAGCAGCTGTTCAGGACTACTGCTGATCGGTGGTCTGTTCTTTTGGTGATTATAATTACTGATGGTAAATGTGAAAGCCTGAACTACTGGTGTTGGCACTGTTCTAGGTTCAGCTCCAGCCGGTTTCAGCCACAAACTCAACCAGCTGAACGGGGCCAATGACATGGATGACAGTAGGATCAGTGGGATACCATAAAAGTATTCCCATCAGCTCTTTGTATCAGTGTCGATTTTTTTAATATAAAAAGGCTCTAATCCTCAGTTCTAGAACAAGAGTTAAAGTACGGGTGAATTGCAGGTTAGCTTGTGTCAGAAAAGCACCTTTTGAATTTTCATCTCGTCCACTTGTCGCTTCGTAGACTTCAATCGCAATCGTTGGCCTGGACGGTAGTGTAGGCAAATATGTGCCATGGTCCCTCTATCTCAAGTGATTCACCATTAGCCTTGTGCCTTGTACTTTATAAGGTTGCTAGACTTAAAAATAATCACAGTTTTTTTTTTGAATTTAAATAATCACAGTTTTGCTTGATAATCCATTGCCATTTGGCGCTTGGTCCCTTCCACTTTAGCTCAAGCTCCGCCATTTACTATAGTGGAACGTTGGTCCCTTCTAAGAAAATAACCCTTATCCGAGGTTTTGTAAATATTGTGGCTGCAGTTTTTCCAAATTTTAAGCACACTCGTGCGATCAGCGCTGATCCAAATTCCAAATGAATCTGAATATGGCTCATCGGCCCGTTCGCGTGCTCTTAAACCCGGCTTGATCCACTTTTTTTTTTTTTCATCCGAACAGTGTTTTTCTCTCATAAATTCCTCCAGCATTCCTCCAAACCATCCAAATTCCTCCAAGCGAACATGCCCGATCATCTTTGTTCATCGATTTGCGATGGCCAAGTTCTCCGAACGGTAGAAGAATACGCCTTCCTCTCACCTAAGACGTCTCATATGATTACGCTTTCCGCGAATCCCATCTTCGACTTCCGCACCAAAAACCCCAAACTCGGGGCTTTTACATTTTTACAATTATAAAGATTGACACTCATCCGAATATCACTCTTAGAATGACACTTACAACTTTACCGGATGAGAGAAGTTTTAGTTATAGATTTACCACTTTTTGCGCATGTGGCATGCCACGCTAGCTCGACACGTTGATGCCTAGTCAGCATGAGCACGTGAAATGTCGTTGCTACCCCTGCCTTGCTCCTCTCTCTCCATCCCCGACAGCTGGGTCTCGCGGCACCTGTCACTGCTAGGTGGGCCCCACTAGTCAGCTTCGTCTTTCCAACTCCAGCACCTGGATGGGAGACAACCAGACAGGCCACGCTCCTCCGTCCTGCGCAGGAGCACCACCGGGCGTCGCTCGCCATGGCCAGAGCTCCATCGCCCAGCGCCCGAATGTGGCACGCACCATAGGCTCGGCACGACCTTCACGCCCACTTCACGAGCAATCTGCTCCCCATGCGAGCTCCCAGTGAGTGAGCCACCACCTCGGCCTCCTTCCGCCATGCCTTTCATGAGTCATGAGCTAGCTGCTGCTCACACGTGCGCCGACGAGGCCGCGGGAGAGCTGCTCGCGCCCGCGCCGGCGAGGCCACGGTGGAACTCCTCGCGCCAGCGCCAAGCGAGCCGCAGAGAGCCTGCTGCCGCGCGCCGCTCCTCCTTGGCTTCCTCACACCGCCGTCTTTGCTCAAAACTCCATCTCGACGCGCCCCCATGCGCGCCACGCCTCCTCCGCCGCTAACTGCTGCGTGCTGCTCCATCCTCCGTCCTCTTGCCCAGGGATCGAAGAGTAGCAACCGTGGGGAACCGGCCACGAGCTGGAAGACGAAGTTGACTAGTGGGGCCCACCTGGCAGTGACAGGTGCCGCGGGACCCAGTTGTCGGGGATGGAGAGAGAGAAGCAAGGAAGGTATAGCAACAACATTTCACGTGCTCATGCGGACTAGGCGCCAGCGTGTCGAGCTAGCGTGGCATGCCACATACATAAAAGTGGTAAATCTATAACTAAAATTTCTCTCATCTGTTAAAGTTATAAATGTCATCTTAATACTGATATTCGGATGAGTGCCTATCTTTATAATGCTAAAAATATAAAAGTCCCGACAAACGCCATCTCGCCTGACTATCCCCACCCCCACCGCTCCCGTCCCCACCAATCGCTGCCGCCGCCGCCGCAGCAGCAGCCATGCACGGCCGCCGGCACCCCGCGGCGTCCCTAGCCCGGGCCCTGACCCAGGCGCCCTCCCGCTCCATCTCCTCCACCCCATCTCTCCTCCAAACCCTCGACCCCTCAGTGCCGTCGCCGTCGCCTCCCGCCGCGGAACCAGGGCGGCTCGCGGAGCTGCGGCGGCGGCTGCAGGCGGACGCGCCGTCGCTGGGCGACTTCACGTACTCGGTGGAGGTGGGGACGCGGCAACGCCCGCTGCCCAAGCCCAAGTGGATGAAGGAGACCGTGCCCGGCGGCGCCAAGTACGCGGCCATCAAGGCCAAGCTGCGGGAGCTGAAGCTGCACACCGTCTGCGAGGAGGCCCGGTGCCCCAACCTCGGCGAGTGCTGGTCCGGCGGCGAGACCGGCACTGCCACCGCCACAATCATGATCCTTGGGGACACCTGCACGCGCGGCTGCAGGTAGGAGATTCGTCGTGCTCATTTTTCTGCTTTGTTTGTGGTACCGTGGACGGATGCTTAGATGTTTAGGCTGTGCGATCTGAGACCTTATTGCGTCGTGTTTGGATTCAATATATTAGAAATTAGAATGTGCTCTTCACTTGCTTCTGTATGATAGACATTTAGACTAACATGCTGCAGTTATCTTGATTCATGAGCTGTTTGAATTCATATAATCTGATTTTGCATTCTCATATGGTTTCTTCTGGATTTTTAGGCACTTTTATACTGCTCTAGCTGTTGCGTCGCAAGAATGTTCTCGATATCTAAATTTACAAATTCATAGACGCCACTGTGTAGTTCTATCTAGTGATGGAGCGATGAGAACGGATGCTTTTATGTATGAAGCAATTCTGTATAAAATATGCTTATTCTATTGTGTGTGTGATGCCCATTTTCGGGTACCTGCAGGTTTTGTTGCTTAGGCCGCATAGTTTTAGCCGCTTCATCAATAGTTTTGTTTTGTGTAAACCTGCATAGCAAGGATGTTTGGTGTTTCTGATGTGGAATTCACCTTTTGAAGAAATGAACTTAAGGCCCATAGTTGCTTATGAATTTGAGAAATTACTGTTTTGCAGATTCTGTAATGTCAAGACATCTCGAACACCTCCTCCACCGGATCCTGATGAGCCTTCCAATGTTGCTCAAGCTATTGCCTCATGGGGCCTTGAATATATAGTTATCACAAGTGTTGACCGGGATGATCTACCTGATCAGGGCAGTGGTCACTTTGCTGAAACAGTACAAAAGTTGAAGGCTTTGAAGCCAGAAATGCTTATTGAAGCACTCGGTAAGAGTCATGTTCCTCACCATATGCTTGGTTACTTGCATGTTAGCATGGAGTTGATCATCGGCCCTGTCAAATTAGTGCATTAACCATTCATATTCTGTACCCTTACTACTAATTTTACAGTACCTGATTTCCGTGGAGATCCAAGCTGTGTAGAGAAGGTTGCAACTTCTGGATTGCATGTTTTTGCGCACAATATTGAAACTGTGGAAGAGCTTCAAAGAAATGTCAGAGACTACCATGCAAATTTCAAACAATCTATTGATGTTCTGAAAATGGCAAAAGAGTATGGTCCTCCTGGTACCCTTACAAAGACATCAATAATGCTGGGTTGCGGGGAGACTCCAGATCAGGTTATTAGCACCATGGAAAAAGTGCGGGCTGCTGGTGTTGATGTTATAACATTTGGCCAGTACATGAGGCCATCAAAACGTCACATGCCTGTTTCTGAGTATGTTACGCCTGAAGCTTTCGAGAAGTACCGGGCCCTTGGTGTTGAAATGGTATGCCTGTCTTTCCTGAATGTGTGCTTTGATTTTTACATTGTATGAGGCATTTAGAGCCAGCCACATTCCTTTGATACATCCTATGCACGAGAAGCCTATTATCAACCATAATACTAAATTTCACAGTATATACAAAATGAATATGATTATGGACTCTGATGCCTCTTTGCTGATTATTAAACATCATTGTTTGGCAATTTGGAATGCTGCAAAATGAAGAATTGTCAATAGAACGTTCATTCCTTCTGTGATTATATCTTGGTAATCCAAACTTAGTTGTGCTAGCGAAACAAGGCTCTAGAAACTTGCATTTTCACTTATGCTGCAGCATTGATTCATTTGCAGACTTGATTACTGCCATTGTTCTTATTAGTTCCCAGAATTTCTCCTGGTTAATGAGCTTCATGCACACTGTCGTTTTCAGCATTGCTCATATTTAACTGGGGTGCTGACAAAATGACCCAATCTTTGTTGTAAATGGCAGGGGTTCCGCTATGTTGCATCTGGGCCAATGGTTCGATCCTCCTACAAGGCAGGTGAGTTCTACATCAAAGCTATGATTGACGCCGATCGAGCAAAGGCAACCACTGCAGATTCAAGTGCATAATTGACAGTACCTCCACCCCTTGACTTTGCTGTGTTGCAAATAAGCTCCTCAACTGCTTTGTAGTCAGAGACATGTCGATTTATGTGATGATTCCAACCACACATTCATTTTTTTTTTTTTGTTATAGAATAACTCCGGCTCCTTGGTGCCATTCCCAATTTCCCATTCAGGCTTTGTCATCCCTCCCAAGTTCAAAAATCAAAATTATTTGTTGTAACAGTATACTTAGGCGATCTCCTCCTTTTTGTTTTACCCGTACAGTGAGAATGTGAATACAGCAGGGCTTGTACTTTTGTGTGGCATTGGTAGACCCAACCTGCTGCGGATTGTAACAGAGACCGAGCTTGCGGTTGCGGGCATGTGGTGCGGAAATCCTGAGACACTCTCCTCTGATGTGGCTGGGAGCCAACTTGACCATCTTTTTGCGTGGTCAACTATTCAACATGGCAAAGCAAAACGCTGCCACTGGCTCGTACATGAATGATTGGGAGTATATGGTTGAGCATTCATCAGATGGGCCCAGTGGAGAAAGGAGCTGACCAGTGCTGCAATAATGCTAAGAGCATGTAGTGAAATGCGGTGTTGCTCCTAATTGAACTTGCCGACACATCCCATTCAAGGTGTGTGTAGTGTAGGCACCCCCCACCATGTTCTCCAGCCACTGATGCAGGCAGTGGATTTGGGTCAACCAAGCACTACAAACAACGCTCGCCCTCACATCACACTACCGGAGATCTCTGAGCACGAATCGCCGATAGAACACGTTTAACAATACCTCCAGAGTGGGGGAAAAGCGGGCAGGCAGGCTGCGTCCAATTAACCGGCGCGCGGGCTAGTAAACTAGGCACGCGTGAGCATCGATCCGAGGTGTAATACAACTAGCACCCGCGCCCGGCGTCCTCATCTAGCTATCCGAATCCCATGCATGCAGACGTGCGCAACGCAACGGGCCATGCTTTGCTTTCCCAATTTCCCCGTGCGTCGACGTCGATGGCCGCCTCCCTTCGCCTTGGGCAAATCAAAAGCGGTCGCGCCAATATTAAACAAGCTGGACGACGACCAATCAAATATAAAAAGCAACCGCATGTGCTCAAGTGGAAGGAGGGGAAAAGCGTTCGCCTTCGCCCCGGCTGCTGCCCTCGTTCGAGAACCCACATAATTAACCCACTAATCAACCATATCAGCCTCGCCATTTGACGCGACGCGCACATCCTTATCTAGTTATCTGCCCATCATCATCCGCTCATCGATCGGCACCGGTCACTAATAATCACTCTTGCGCCTCCTCTATGGCCAAACCACCCTTGACACACCCAAGGGTTCACGCGGCCGGGGATCAATCAAGGCCAACCTCCACTAGAAAGTTGATGACTCGGCTGGCTCCATCGATCGGTCGGTCCCTCGGGAAAGCGAGGGCCGTTTCCACGAGCACAAGAGCACTGGCGTCCGCGGTCCGCCTAGCTATATATCGGAGCCTGCACAAGCAACTCTCTCTACACATGAGCTCAGCCCAGCGGCGCTAACACGAACCGCAGCTTGAGTCAACCAGCTGTAGTAGTGCTGCGTTCCAGTTAACTTGCTGCAAGAAGCGCAAGGCGCGAGTGCGCTGATGGCAAGATTGAGGGTGCAGCCTCCGAGCCTCGAGCTCGGCGTCAGGGTCGTCAGGGTGGATGGCCTAGAGCAGGAGCAGCTGGAGGAGCGCGGCGGCAACCTCTTCCTGAGGTACTACGTCCCCGCCGGGGACGGGCGGCGGCGGCTGCGCGTGGACACGCGGGAGGTCCCATGCGCCGGGGCCGACTTGCGCTGGGGCGAGCTCGCGCGCTTCGAGCACTGGGGTGGACAGCCCACTACTGCAGCCGGGGGAATAGTGTTCGAGCTGCGGTGGAGGCCGCGGCCGTCGTCCTCGTCTGGGCTGGTGGCAGCGCTACTGGGCGCCGGCGGAGCACGGTTGAGGCCGTCGTCGCGGGTGCTGGCGCGGGCCGAGCTCCCGTGGGCCGACGTGTCGTCGTCGTCGTCGTCGTCGCAGCCGGCGGAGAGGTGGCTGGCGCTCTCGCAGGTGGGCCGCGAGCTGGGCGGGTGCAAGGCGCCTAAGCTGCTGGTCGAGGTCAAGGCTGTCCACGCCGCCGTTGCTGGCACGGAGAGGACATCCGGTGGCGGCATGACCCAGTGCTGCCGTGCTGCCGAGCGCTGCGGCCAGTGCGGGTGGGTTGGGAGCGAGGAGGACATGTTCCTCGCAGCAACGTTCAGTCAGCAGCACTAGATAGGCCGTCTCAATTGTCAATTCTCACAGCAAAATTAACAACTACGGTACTTCAGACACTCCCATGTCAGGATTCATATATACAGAAAACTATTAGTTGTATAGCCCCTGCTCCAAATTTTGAGAATTGAGATAATTGATTGAATGGTTTGCGTCCCTCTCTGTGGCTTAGCTATTATTGTACCGATCCAAATTACAACAGCTAAAAAGAGATGTCGTACAACGGAGAGCATGTTTTACTGTCTACTAGAAATTTTTTAATATATTGTATGTAGCTTGATCAATTAAGAACACTATTTTATATTATCCTTGTGTTGCTATTTGATTGAAAACGGATCAAGCTTAAATAAAATGAACATGATTATAATATTTCTAAAATCATCAATATAAATGCAAGATTTAGGTACGATAATGGTTACATTAGTGGGTGGTTACCAAATGATAGAACTGTTGTCCCATGCTCCTTGGCTACAAATGATAGAGTTCTTGTACTATCTAGGCGTAGATCTAGTGGGTAAAACATAACTTAGATAGAACTTGATGATGATGTACCTCATCTCAAGTCTCCAGTCGCAACCATGACGCCGCCGACGAGGTAGCATTGACGTCGGTAAAGGCCGGTGGAGCTTCCCGTCGCTTACAGCGCGCCCTTCTAGATCGGACTAAGGCTAGGACATGGTGGGACGCTGGCGGCTGCGGTGAACCTCGTGTCTCGAGCCCCAGCTCCCACCTCTTTTACATAGCACTGCGCGACGGGGGCCCACCAGCCAGGAGAGCGGCTGGGCGTCCCCGATCAGGGCGCAAGTCAAGTGTCTAATTGGCCGTTGGGCCAAATTGGTGGAGATCAACTTAACATTCCCCCCTTGATCTCACCTTATGTCTTATACTTAACTTACTTTATATTTTTCCCATTTTATCATAGATCAGTGCATAGAGCGTGCCTCATCGTCACGGTCAGTTGCCATTAGATTTAACAGCTATAATGCACCTCTCTGTTTTAAAACAGATTCTCAATTAGGCCCTCGGTATCTAGAAATCATAGGCTTTCCCGTAAAACCATGTCGACTATGTGTTCTCTGAACGCACTGGGTGGTAAGCCTTTGGTAAGCGGATCCACAAGTACTTACTCGGTACTTATGTGCTCAATGCTTTCAAAATGATTCTGGATTTTCTCCTTTACAACATATAATTTAGTGTCAATGTGTTTGGCAGCACACTTGACCTGTTGTCTTAGAAGTTAACTTAATTTAAATAGTTATTGCTGTTGTCTACCATTGTTAAATCCGGGTACAAATTCCTTTAACCTCCTTTTGCCTGTTCCTTAAGCCTCATGTCAAATTATACTATGGTATGCATCATTGATGACACCATAACTATTTTTTAGAGCTTTTCCACAATAATACTCCAATTGCGAGTGTTAGCAACTACTGTGGATTTTACTACACATCTCGCCAAGACTTAACATTTGTACCCTCAACTATTTGAGAGTATTTGTTCTTTCTTACTCAGCATGAGGTCTATGATACTTTGCAAAATTGCAAGACATTCTTAACTCTATTCTAGTGATCTATATCTGGACAGGACTTCTACCAAAATATCCCGGATACGTAAACTACGCCAGGGTAAGTTCTTACTTGTACTTGTACACTCATCAAGCTTCCAACAGCTAAAGCATATAGAACCATGTTCATTTGATCGATCTCATATCCGTTCCTGGAACACTTAAAGTTCCTAAATCTATTACCCTTGACTATAAAAGCAGGCGTAGGTTTACTCGCATGCATACTTTATTTCTTTAAAATCTTTTCTAAGTATGCCTTTGCGATAGTCCTAATACCCTATTTTCTTCTATCTCGGTGAATTTCGATTCCTAGAACCAATGATGCTTCACCAAGATCATTCACATTGAAACTTGAGGACAAAACTTTTTCTTCTCCAATGACAGATTAACATCACTACTAGTGAGTAGAATGTCATCTATTCACAGGATGTGGAAAATGCATTTTCCATTCTTGAACTTCGCATAAACGCTATTGTCCTTCTCATTTTCTTTAAACCCAAACTTTCTTATTGTTTTATCAACTTCAAATACTACTGTCTAGAGACTTACTTTTAACCCATAAATGGATTTCTACAGGCGGCATCCCATATGTTCTTTTCTTCCACGACAAAACCTTTTGGGTTGTGTCATGTAAACGTTTTTATACAAATCCCCGTTGAGGAATGCCGTCTTTACATCCATCTGATGTAACTCTAAATCACACCATTAAGATTCTAAAAGAATCCTTGCATGAGACTAGAGAGAAAACTCTCATTGTAATCTATTCATTCTCTTTGTGTAAAGCATATTACTACAAGTCGTGCTTTATATCTTTCTACATTCCCTTTGAAGTCATATTTTGTCTTATAGACCTATTAACAGCCTACTATTTTGGCTCTATTATGAATTACTTCTAAGTCCCAAACATTGTTGGTATTCATCGAATTTATTTCAACTTCCATAGCTTCTTGCCATTTAAACGAGTAAACGCTTCTCATGACTTCTTCAAATGAGGTAGGATCACCCTCCATTTGAATTTCTTTACTAATATAGACTTCATAGTCATCAAAAAAACTGATTTACTAATTCTTTGAGACCTTCTAGGACCTCAGCTACTGGCACTTTCATATGAGGTTGATGTTGCTCTTCATTGCCAAGAGGCAATTGATTCTACAGGCTCATATATTACAAGATCCTTGT